TCAAAATCAAACAATTTTATTGTCGCCATCGCCATCGCCATCGTCGTCGTCGTCGTCGTCGTCGTCGTTTATGGTGCAAACTTTGCGGCCTTATGTGATGTGTGTTTATGGGGGGAACCATTGGAATTCATAAATGAATATGGGGGCGAGGGGCTTTAGGCTTTGGTGGAGCAATTTTAAGTTTCAGATCTTCGACTGCGTCAGCGACTAATGCGTTGTCCAAACAGAGCCCAAAAACGTGCTGTCTAAATATTTACAATTACTTTACATAAACGCTCAAAAAGCGCAACTGGCAACTGGCAGCAAGGTGGGGCACCGGGGCCAGTGCGCGTTGAAGGGGGCGAGGGGGGTGTTAGTGTTAGAGTTTGAGGTGTCCCTCTCTTGTCTTTTGTTTGAGCAGTCATCTGTCATATTTAAGGCACAAATCCCACAGAGCACGAGTATGACGGCGACTGCGCATTTAACTATAAAAAAATAAATGAAAAAAAAAACAATTCGTTGTTTTTTTTGTCGTCTATTTTTTTTCTCTTTATCGGAGGCGATATGACAAACATGACAGGCGAGTAAGGCTAACGGTAAAGCCCAACAAACCAAACCAAACACACCAACCCACCCTCCCCCCTCCCCCTCCACTCACCAACCCACATACACACGCACACCCCTCCCGCACATACGTGAAATGATAATGGACAAATAAAAATCTAGCAAAGTGACAGGGCGAACGAGTGTGCGAGTGTGCGAGTGTATGAGGGGGGGTTAGGTGAGTGAGGGGGTAAGCTGGGCTGGGAGGCATGTATAAACCAGTCATGTCAAATCCAGCAAGCAGACAGATCTGCCCATGTGGAACAGCCGCCGCACCGCGCTCTCCTCTGAGCCTATGTGCTTTCCCTTTTATTTGTGTTGACCTGCTATCTCTTTCTGGTTGTCAGCCGCTATCTCTGTCTACTAGTGCCGACAAAGTGCTCGTCAACGGACAATTACAAGCAAATTAATTCAACGTGTACGGCAACACACCAAAAACCATGACCCTGCCGCCCCCACCCGTAACCCCTCTCCTCTGGCCTCTGGCCATGTAGGCCCAGCACCTCTCAGAGATAGCGATCAATGAAAATGTTGGGAATTGAATTGAATAAAGTTGGACACTTGTTGAAGAGCCCCTCGTGGAGGGGGCGATGGAGTGGGTTATGCAAGTAAATTACTATCATTTTCGCAGATGTAATTTATTATTTGATAGGGAATATCCATTAATAATAATAATCTGAGCTGAAACTTGTATTTTAGAATTACCTTAACGAATTTCTAATGTGCTTTATTTTATTTTTCTTTTATTGCTGCACAGTATTATTTCTCATTATATATGCGTATGGATATGTTATAGAAATTGATTGACTTTAATTTCCTTATCAAATTATATAATTTTTGAAATATATGTGAATGGAAACAGTATTTTACACAAAGAATAAACAAAAATAGTTGAGAATCCTATTCTAAAATAGAATCTTAAATGAACTTGATGTTGTAGCTCGCGAAGTATTGTATAATATATATATATATATATATATATATATATTATATATATAAATAAATATATGTTTGATCAGCATCACTAAACTAATTAATATAGCCATGTCTGTTTTTTTGTCGAACAAGTCTTCAGTTTTGAAGCTATCTTGATGAAACTTGGAATGCCTCTCTTTTCTCTCTCTCTCTCTCTCCCTCTCTCTTCCGCTCACTGGCACAAGACTTGGCCACGTGCCTGGAACTGTTGTTGTTGTTGTTGATGCCGTTTTGCTCTTTGGATGCACTTGAAATTTGTATCTGGAGCCAGGCAAGATTTAGAGAATTCAGTTCATGCGTGTGTTAAATGCATTTCCAGCTGGCCATAAAGCTTTTGATGATAGTTGTTCTTGTTGTATGTTTTAGTTGGCCATTTCTTTTGATTGCTGGCTGTATCTTTATGCCTTTTTTTTGTTTTTTTTTTTGTTTTTGTTTTCCTTTGTATCCGAAACTCTTTGATCTGCTTTACGTGCTTCCGATTTAATTTCGTTTCATTTCGTTTTTATTACCCACTTGAAACATGTTCGACTTTTGTTTGAGTTTCGTCTAAACAATTTTTACACACACACGCACACAAAGGGATCATCTGAAAGGCGGTCGGCGAAATAGATGCAAAGAGAGAGAGAGAGAGAGAGCGAGAGAGAGAGCGAGAGAGATAGAGATAGAGGGCGAGGGCGAGGTAGACAGTCATCCATTTAAGGCAAAAGAATGAACATTTACAGCAGCGCCAGGCGCAGCCTGCGTCCGATAAGAAAAAGGCAAAGTAGGCGGGAATGCGATCCAGACGCCTCTAAAAAACAAAACACACTCGCACGCACTCATGCTGCTGCAGTGACCGACTAGTAGATGCCCTGCAAATGCAGACCAATCAAGATCTATTTGTGTACAAACAAAATAAAAATGGTAAACAAATATGAAAGTATCACAACCAGAAATCTCGATTCAACTGCAAAACACATCGAAAGTGAATGCTTAAAAATTGTAAAATAAGAATATATTCTTAAATTGGATGTGTTTATTCTGCTTATTCACTTTTAAGAAGATGAGCAGTATAGAATTGAATTGATTCACAATTCATATATGAAAATGAATAATTTTTAATAAAGTTCTTTAGTTACAGGGTATCTGCCGGAGAGGCAACTAATCAGCTGACAAGAGTCGAGCAGATAAAGTCAAATGCAAACAGCATTGGTGCGAGGCATAGTGCACAGTTTTATGGGTTTTCTTTTAGTCAGTTAGTCAATAAGTCAATAAGTCAGTTAGTCGGCAGTCGGCAGTCGGCAGTCGGCAGCAGCTGCAATCGGCACAACCGGCATTGCCCGACCCTTGCTGCCTTACTTCGCCGCAGCATCCGATTGACCAATGGCCAAAGCATTGTATGTTTATGCCTAAAGAGGAGCGAGAGAGCCGGCAGAAAGGTGTTAATGGACTCTGGGCCAAGAAAGAAAGGCCCCGACCATGACCCCGTGCCCCTTACCAGTCTGCCCCGTCTGTCCCATCTTCCCCGTCTTCCCCGTTGCTCGCTGCTGCATCGCACACATTTCTCACATCTTTCGTTTCCTCTTTCGCTCATTCTTTCCATCTATTTGCTATCTTCGTCACAGTTGTTTTTCTCGTCTAAAGACTTTAGCCATTACCATTACCATTACCAACATTACCAATACCATTGCCAAGACTATTGCCATTACCAGCACTATTAGCATTACCATCGCTATCATTGTCCGCTTCGGCTTTCGACACGCACTCGCTTCGAATATCTGTTCATGGTAAAAGGTAAATTATGGCCAAGAATGACGCTGACCTCAAATGCAGTTAGAGCCAAACCAAAAATTCGACTTTTAGTCAAAGTTAGTAACAGCTCAACATTTTTCTTCTTCTTCTTCTTCCTCTTCTCTTTTTCATCTTTATGCTTTGTAGTTGCCTACTTTTATGTCGTCTGCCGCCTCGTCCTCCTCTTCAATCATCTTCATCATCGTCTTCGTCGTCGTCGTTCGTCTTTGTATTCTTCTGCTGCTATTTTGTTGTTGCCGTAATTTTTTTCCTTTTATCATTTTATCTGTAACATGCAAAGGCAGCAGCGACGCCGACGCCGACGTCACTGATAGCGGCCAGCATTTTTACATTTTACATTGAAAAGCAATTAAATGTTTGCGGCTGTCGCTTCTCCCAAGTCTTTTGACTGATAACTTTGTTGTGCCCGTCTTTTGTCTGTGTGCGTGTGTGTGTGTGTGTGTGTGTGTGTGTGTGTGTGTGTGTGTCGGACGTGTTTGCACTCTTGTCTAGATATGCGTAGAGGAGGAGCGCAGGGATCTGAAGACCAAGCCAAAGGAACAACAAGAAGTCAAGCAGAAAGACAGAAATAGACAACCAAAGCGAGATACAAAAAATGAAACTGAAAGTCCAAAAGGGCAGGGCACGATTTTGGGCATAGCTAATAAAGAAATATATATCCCAATATCAATCAAATATATGGAAATATATATCTTAAGGCACACATACATATGTAATAAGTGTGATTAAATTAGTTTATTCTGGAAAGAAGGACTTGAAGCAAGCATGCTGTCTTCTTTCATATCAATTTTTACATGATATATTTGAATTTGTGCTTAAAATTACAAACTTCAGATTTCAATTTCGTGTCTAGAATGTGCATATATTTTTGTCAGTGTATGTCTGAGCTAAACAAATCTTTAAGTATATATCTAATTGATAAAGACGATGGATTAGGAATAATATAATTGATTGGAAAGTTCATTTAAATAACTTGAGGGAACTTCAAGTATAACTTCAACTATAAGTAAATAATCATTTTTATTAATATTGTATTTTATTATTAATTTAAGCTAAAAATCTGAATTATATATAGGCTATAACTTTACATATCAATCCATATAAGTTTTCTAATTTTATTAATTTTGCTATTGCGTTTTTCCATTTATCGTAATTTTTGTGAAATTTGTTTTTGTGTTATTATTTGTAGCTTTATCTCACATTAATCGTCAAATGACAAAGCCACAAAAACAAGCCAAGAAGCAGAAGAAACAGAAGAAGAAGAAGTCGAAGCAGACGCAAAAAAGCAGCTAAGACAAACAGACAAAAAAGTGGAGGCGCTTTGATGAGCTGCCGCCAGTTGCCGTCAACGTCACAACAACTGACACTGACAACAACGTCAGCTTCAAGCTCCGACTCCGACTCCGGTCATGTCCATATCTACAGTTACACATCCATCTCCCCCCTCCCTCCACTGTTCACTTGGCTTTCGCAATGGTTTCTGAGTTTTCAACAGTTTTTGTTGTAGTTTTATTTACTGGGCTTTTGAAAATTTTTTCGAGTTTTGGTTTTTTGCACGTAAGCGTCAAGAATTGTTTTTTATGGCCACACACCCAAAAAGAATCTCGCGGGGAGGGGAAGGGGGGTGGGTGGTTGTTGTGTTATTGGCTTACCTGCAATTCAGCCTCCAGCTGAATGGTGTGACCAGCTAGATTGGGCAGCGCAGTCATATTGTAGCCAAGTCCCTGGCAGGCGGAGACTGCGATCCGCTGGCATTGTAATCCATTCGAGTTGCCACCGTTAACCGCATTCCCCGACAAAGCTGACAGCGCTCTGCTGCTACTGCTGCCGCTGCCGATGCTGCTGCTGCTGATGCTACTGCAGCTGCACTGCATCATCATCAGGCAGCCGGCGAGCAGGGCGAGCAGGGCAATTGAATTTGCTGTGGGTGCTGTCAGCATTTTCCGAATTGCTAGTTGCGTGTCAATGTTGTCAATGCAGTCAATGCTGCAATCACTGACTATGGGCTGACTAAGTCGATTAGGGTCAGCAGGAGCACAAAGGGTTTTCAGGGTCACGGTCACATTCGCCTCATTCTGTGGCCTACTAAGTTCACCCGCGATTTATGCGACTCGTATTATTATTATGAATTTAGCTTGCGCTTAACTGCCCACACGTATCACGTGAAAAAAAAGAAATAATAATATCAGACACCAATTTAACACACGAATATTTAATATAACTTTTAATGTTGTATATGAACAAAGCCGCCGATTGACGTACATTCAAATTGTCAATTCCCAGTGCGAAGCGAAACACGTCCACACTCGCCAAACTATCAACGTGGACTGAACGAACAGCCAAGTGAACTGTAACTGTTTGGCCCCAGACACAGCCGAGCGAACCCCACAGAGATAGACAGACAGAGAGAGAGAGAGAGCGAAAGGGAGAGTGCACACACAACAGACATGCTGGGAACAGCTGGAACTGAACTGAGCGCGCACACAAGAGCGAGGAGCCTGCAATAGTGGGAGAGCGAGAGAGAGAGAGAGAGAGAGAGAGAGAGAGAGAGAGAGAGAGAGAGAGAGAGGGAACGGAAGAAGCAGAGAGCGCTCGCTGTGCAATTGTGTTTTGAGTGTGTTTCGCTTCAGGTGCGCTGCCAAAGTGCATTGAATATTTGCCACTGGGGAACATTGCGAGTCCGATTCCGATTCCGGGTTTGATTTTTGATTTAAGCGCTTGCAGATTGTTTGACACCTTTGCCGTGAAGCTGATGACGTCTCCGACTTAATTAGCATCACTAGGAGAGTCGATATGGGCATGTCTATCCCTCTGTTTGTAGGCGAACTAGTTCTTTACTTCTCAGACTTGTAATATGAATGAACCACTATATCATATAACTGCCAAAGCTATGTGTATCAGCTATGCATTTATAATTATGCTCCTCCATTTCGAAACAAAGAAGTAGTCCTTGTAATATAGACACAATCGGTATGTTTTTTGTAAGTAATACTGAAATTTAGATGGCGAAATGCTGCATCAGGTCTAAAATGGTATGCAATACTCGACGTGTAGTGCAGAATAGCAATTTCGAAGTATTCTTGAAAGATTTATGTTTGATTTAAAGTCTTGGGAACAGGCTAAGCCCTGTCTCGCTCTTTCTCGTATAACACTTTTACTGAAATTGTAAATAATCCAGATAAAATATATTATTATTTATATAGCTATAAATATTCTGTGTATATATGCATATTTAAATTATACCTCATGAATGAATATGCATAATTGTATTATTATTAAAAAAATAAATACGACGACTATATTAGATATATTAACAAAATATTGCTTTGTTTTTATTTTGGGACTTAAAATATGGCTTTATTTATCGCTTATGGCGAACATTTATTATTATTGCTTTCAAAGTGAATATTAAATGTTCATAATTCAATTCGACTTGAGGACTAAAATTACTAAAATTAATTTGACATTATGATTTCCAAATTATAATTATTTCTTATGGCGACTTTGAATTTGAATTTGAGGCCAAAACAATTTAGATTTTATAATACCATCTGATCTTTGAGCCGATAATTAGATAATTTATGTAATTGCAACTACAAATCATATATTATTTTATTACCATTATTATCAATATAATATGCACCGTTAACTATTGAGCTTGCTTGATTGATCAAGATAGATCGTAATTTTTTTTTTTTTTGGTTAGCTGACCCACCTGCAGCTGTGCATATGTAGCTGCAACAGTGGCAAGTGGCAAGGTGAGCAGCATGCTGCGCATGCCATTCAAAGCGCCCTTGACTCCTCCATCATCACTCGTCGGGGCAGAAGGGGAGAGGGCGGCGAAGTGGGAAGGGGAAATTTGATCGCACACACGATGAGCAACAGCAACAACAACAACAACAACATCAACAGCAACGACGACATCAAACAAAACTGAAAGGTGTCCCATGGCAAAAATAAAAAAAGGTGGTACTGTGGTGGCCTGCCAATGAGGGGGAGGCAGCATTTACAATTGAACACCGCAACCTCCGCTTGCAGCAGCAGCAGCAACAGCAGCAACAAAACAACAACAACAACAACAACACCAACAACAACAATGTCGGCGTCGGCAATCTTTGATGTGCGCTTTGATTTCCGGCAGCGAGATAAGATTTTTTTCGCCCCCCTGGCGCAGCGTATTGTCGTTGAATGGGTGAGTTGAGGAGTGCTATTGGATATAAGAGGGGAAACACAGATAGAGAGAGAGAGAGAGAGAGAGAGAGAGAGAGAGGGTGAGAGAGGGAGAGAGAGAAGAGGCAGAAAATCGCAAATCAAAACGAATTGCTGCAAATTTTTGTTGTTGTTGTTGTTGCTTTTTTTCGCGGGCAACGGCGCATCAAACGCATTTTGGCCGAGCGAAGCGAGATTTTTATCGCCGCCAACTGCAAAAGGAGGCGTTGCACATTGCCGAACGGGCGAGATAGTCGTGATGGAGGTGGTGGAGGGGGTGGTCATGGAGAGATGGAAGCTATTCCCATGGCAAAGTCAATGCCAAAATCTAAATATACAAATAAATGCATGTGCAACATAGATCAATTCAAATGCCAGGCATCTAATGTTGCAACACCTGTTGTTGCAAGCTCCTCAGTTTCTCTTTATTTGCCTGTGTGTGTGTATGTGTGTGTGTTTTTAATTTGAAAGAGCAAATCGGGGCACACTTCCGCAGCATTTTCAAGTGCCTCAAACAAAGAGCCACTAAGCTGAGCTGAGCTGAGCTGAGCTGAGCTGAGTTGAGTTGAGTTGAGCTCGAACCACTTTCAGAGTGATCTTTCAATTGTCATCCAGGCTAATACCCATGTAAGCCTGCCCCTTCACTTCCCTTCCCCGTTCTCTTTCTCTCTCACACACGCAATCTGTGGAGACAATAATAATAACAATAATACTCGACTACTATTTTAATACCCTATACCTGTGCTTGTTTAGGGAGTCATGACGTCGAGCAAGGCATAAAGTATATATATCTTCGATCAGCATTATGTCTTTTCGTCTCTCAGGGAGATTTATGAGAGCTAGAAAGTTCCTTCGCGTATATATTTACATATATATATATATATATATATTTTATTATATTTAATCTATTTGTTAAGAATGCATTATAGTCTTTAAAATAAGTTGATCAACGTTTAAATTGCAAATGATACATTGAGGAAAATAAAGAAGGACAAGAAATAAATAAGCAACTACAGTGAAGCCTCGAATATCAAGGAAATTGAATTTTTTAAGAACATTTGCGTATATTTCTGCGAAGTAAGTCATTAATGCCGTTTCCCGGTAAATAAAAGTGGTTCAACTGACTGCAGGGTAATTTCGAGTCGGTCACTCTCTCTCTCTCTCTCTCTCTCTGGCTCATTGTGTTTGGAATAGTGTCGTTACTCTCTCACTCTCTCTTTCTCTCTCTCTCACTCTACAGCTGAATGCAGTTTCATTCTTTGTTTGTTGGTTTTTTTGTTTGAAATCTGCCAGTTGTTTGAACTTCGTTAAAATTTCATCAAAGAGATCAATCTGGGCTAGCTTCGTGTGCGTGAGTGTCTGTGTGTGTGAGTGCTGTACGAGTGTGTGTGTGTTTATTGTGTGGCAAGGCAATAGCTAATGCCAGCACTTACACTTGCCCTCCTCGAATTCATCTTTTGTTTACATAATATAAATGCTCGTCACATTCTCCCCCCTCCCTTCACACTATCTCCTTCTCTCTCTCTCTCTCCCACACTCTCTCTCCCCTCTTGTCTTGCTTGGAGTCTCTGGTGTGGAGTTTTCTCATTTGCTGCACCCATAATTAACGCTGCGAGGCATCTTCGTTTGCAGAGTATTTCGCATTGTCTTCGTATACGAATCTTGAGAATGACAGTCTCAGCCCCTGGCTATATATATATATATTTCTTCATATACATATATATATATTGTTCTAATTTCCTGTTATCACTATTCATATTTGGAAACTTGCAACTTTTCCATTGGATATCTGTGAAATACTTTCAAAAATCAAATTAAAATTTGTATCTTGATTGCGTATTTTTATAGAGTCACAGTTTATATGATAGGTGATCGGAGATCGGAAATCGGTGATCGGTGATCTGCACAGAGAGCAATAGCTGGTCCACTGGTAACTGGAAACTGAGAACTGGGAGACTTTGGCTGTCAGAGTGCCTATTAAATCACCGTATGCGCATCTTCAAAGAGTTCCGCCTCCAGTTGTGTCACCAGATGCCAACTAAATACACACACAGAGAACACACAAGCGAATGCATTTGCAGGTTGCTTCTGTCTCTGCCCCTCATCCGCACTGCTGCTGCCCGGCTACATTTCAATCTCAAGTGGGCACTGCAACAATGTTTGCTCTCGCTGCTGTCAACAGCGACGTCTCTTTGCATCCTCAACCTCAACCTCATCTTCATCTTCATCGTCATCTTCAACCTCCTGCTGCTCATTCTGCCCCTCATCTTTTACCCTCGTTTTCGCCTTCGTGCTTATCTTCATCAGCCTCTTTTGGGCTTTGTTTGTCTGTCGTTTATTTCTTTCTTTTCCCGTTTTTTTTTTCGCTTGTGGTTTGTCTCTTTTTCACGAGCGTTGCATCTGTGGACAGTTTGACTCTTGATTTGTTTGCTTGCCTATTTGCGCTTTTCCAATTGCCATTTGGCATGCATTTTCCATCACCAGCATTTTCCGCAGCGTTTCACCAGTCCCACTGCCCAGTTTCAGCACCCAGTTTCAGTACCCAGTACCCAGCACCTAGTTACCAGTCCCCAAATTGCAGTTGCCATAAAGCTGATGTTGTTGACAATCCATGGATGAAGCACTCCCTTTCTGTAGTTCTGTAGTTACCGGCGCCGTTTGCTGTTTGCTTACTTTTTCGTATACCCTGTACCGATTTATGAATCGGTGTCATCCAGTTGTATGTGCATATGTAAAAGGCAGCAGGAGGCATCTTCATATCCCATGATCTTTTAAATGTCTGCCTATAATAGTATAAGAGTTCCATAACCTATCCAGTTGAATGAACACGAATCTCAGAGACCATAAGAGCTAAGTTTATTTCTTTTTATCGATAAGTCACCCAGTCTTAAGAATCTCGATACATCTCCATTTCCGATAGATCCAATACGAAGCACAGAATTTGTTTACAAAATGTATTTTCATATTTAACAATCTATCATCAGAATGGCAAATATTTATTAGCACCTGTCGTCAGGATATCTTCTAACCAAGCTGGCTAAATTGTGTCTCCATTGTACAGATTTGGACTA